AGCTCTGGTCTTCTTATTATCACTTCAGTTGCATTTTCCATAGCTGGTCTTTTAATACATCTACTTGAATCTTTTTATCAAATGAGAGTAAGCATTCACAAACCAAGCCCCTTTCTCTATGCTCCGAGAGCAACAAAATCCAGTAAGAAAGTGTGGGAAGAGAAAAGAAAAAGTCTATGGTTTTATCTGTAGCAACTGGTCTCTCTACTTTCCTGGTTGATATTGCAAACAATGTCCTTCTCCAAGTTTACTCCGCCTTCACAGTGGCTGTAGTATAACAATATTTCAATAAAACAGGTCACAAAATTATTGCAGCATGGTAAATTATTACATGTTGTGGTAATCATTATAGGCTGGATGGTGGTGTCCCCCCCCCCTTAAATTTCATTCTCAGTGTTTCTATATAATCTTGTATAAGACATATTAACCTTTATATCGAAAAGACTGCCACTATGTAGGTTGCTCCAACTGCATACATAGAGTAGGACAAAGTGGATTTAGCATCCTCCTATCACACAACAAAGGATGTTGGCTGAGTGAGCATCCAAGGGCATATCAGCAGCATTGCCTCCAATCCTACAGTAGTATGCTGAAAATTTGAAATCAGAAACGAAACTTCTAGTTCCGTAGTTCAGTCCATGTGCGTCAGCCGACACATTGCTTCTGCTGTTTTACCATATCTCAGAAACAGATATTTTTTCCCTCCCTTTGCAATCATTTCAATTTATCCAGAATATCCAGAGAGATCTGCAACTGAAAGGAATTATTAATGAATGCTTTATTTGGATGCCTATATGGACAAACTTGCTACAAACTCCATCTTCCAAAAGTACTAATTATAAAAAAAAAAATAGGAAAAAGGATTACTAAAAGAAATAGGTATAAGAAAGCTTCTAGAAACCCCAAGGTTAAGCAGAAAGTTCTTCTTATAAGCGGACAAGGATATCACTATTAAAATCATACCCATTACAAACATGATAAAATAGAAACACACACTAATGAATGCTATATCTATTTCCCAGCAATTAGAATCCTGGGGAGAAATCTCATTACTATTGTAGTAATCTAATAAAGGGCTTTGATGGAGCAAGACTGAAATATTTCTGGAAATGCATTAGGAAAAGTCATTTTTGTAACACTGTCTACTGACCTGCTGTATAGCCCATTGTTGAAATTACTAAGAAAATAGCTCAGGAAATGTTATAATCAAATGATATGCTGATCAAGCAGATAAACAAGCAGGAAAATCTCTTTTTAATGCAGTGTACCAAGAATCAAAGAAATGAAAGATAGGATATAATCTAACACATGGTAAGGAAACAAATAGCTCTCTCTTTCTCACGCACATGTAGTCACCTACACATCAGATTATTCATTTCCAGGATAAACAGAGTTAAGCAAGCATTAAAGATGAGAAGTAAAAGTGTTGGGAGGAGGAAGTAAAAAAAACACACACACACACACACATTCATTGTTTAAACCAACACCGTTCATTATTCTTCCTCACAAACTATCTTTGCTTCTGTGACATACATACTAATTCAAGCACTGATGTTTTGTTGTTCTTTACTTTCAATATAGATCTTATTTTAAATGTGATTGGTTTGTACAAAAATAGTTGAGATCAAGAAAAATCTGCCCTACAAAATACTGGGAACTGTGTAAAGGCTATTTCTTATTCAGCTGGCGCATTCAGATACCAAACATTTTCCACAGAATCCTATGATCTGGATTGACATGGGGCTAATCTATTAAAGTCTTGAAAAGTACACCTTGGCTCAGAGGTTAGATCTAAGCGACCTTTCTCTGATCCCCTTCAGAACTTTGATTCTTCTTCTTTTCCGAAACTGCCAAGAGCTCAATTTCCCAACAACAGAGTTTGACTTTTAATCATTACAATTTATTTTCTGCTAAACCAAGATTCTTCCTGTGTATTTCAATTGACAACTTATATGGACAGACGAAAAGGTAAACTGACTACCGTAGCTAGGCTTTGGGTATGGATTGCATTAAATATTGGTGGAGTTATGAAAAGCACTGATTTTTCTCTTGGAAGTTTGTGGGAGCCACTGGGATAGTGGGTGCTCTGTTGAAGTGCACCCACATTCTTCAGCTTCACATTAAAGTGAAGCTGAAGACATTACAAATTTGCAGAGTACCAGACGTCTTACGGCTGTTGATGATTTGAATATGCAAAGTTAACTCATGGATCCTCGAACTTGGTATCTTTCTTTGTGATATCATTTCAAGTAATCAAATAATCAATAATGCTACTGATTATTCTGAGGCTTGCTATCAAATAAGCATGCAGGAATCAACCCTAAATCCATCCAGATAGTCATTCCAAAAGAACATTTTGCATGCTTCCTAAAACATCACTAATGAAATGGAAGCATTCTAGTCCTTGGATAACTGTCTACTTTCTAATGAAACAATTACGAATGAATAGAATGAATTAAAAGATTACAAGCATGATCTGGCATTTCAAAGAGTGAAAAGTAGACAGAGAGATTATTATTTCAGTTTTCGATTTTGAACAACACCCGGTTGAAGCGAAGGGGGGGAAAAAGTTTCATAATAGCTGAAAACAATGATTTTGCCTATTCCCCCAAACCATTCAAAAGAGTGGGAAAATGTATGGAAAATAGTAACGGTGGCTGTTTTATGGAATAACTTTCCCAAATGCTCCTGAGGGAAAGCATCCTGTTAAATCTGTTGCTTAATGAATGCATAAGAATTGTATATAGTACAATAAAAGAATTGATCACCCTGCTTTACAAAGATAAAATCCCAAATATTTAGAGAGCAGTTTCAGTGTTCAGTGGAAATGTTTACTGGTACGGGGAAATTAAAGTGTCAACCAAGAAATAGTAAAGCTCATTAACTCAGAGTTTTCTTTTAACCGATATTCGAATTAACTTTATTACAAACTGGGTAATAGTAAGACTTGTTGGTTAAATCGCTTCCCACTTAGCATTCCAGAATGTTATTAAACCATATTAGCCATTACTCCAGGTAGAAAGAAGTTTTACTGCCTGCTTACTATTTTTATTCATTAAAATCCAACCTGAAGGCACACCCACAAGAGAGTCATTCATGAAGCTTATTGCATTCCTTTTTATTCAGAGTAGCCCATTTCTTCAACTGGGTAGATATCTGAAATATATTTTTTTTAGCACCCCCTCCCCCCCCAATTTCAAGGAAGGGAATCAAAAAGGTAAGAGTGACCTCTAGCGTTCAAAAAGCTATTAGGAACTCAAGAAACAACTCATTCCTTTCCATCAAGGCATAAAGAGTATAATTCATTTGTTCCAAATATATTTTCCCTGTGCTTAATGGCACTCAGTGAATAAAACACAGGCAAGGCACTGGTTAAAATGTGTCCTGCCAACTGGTCCCATTCTTGAAAATTTGCCGATGTTCTAATCTGCATAAATTTGTGAACGGGATTAAAATCTTGCATGACTTCAGCGAACAGTTATGTTCTCAGTCACTTCTGCTAAGCACTGTTTGTTACTGACACATTGCAGAGCTTCTGGTGTGCTGTTATTTTGTCCATGTCATCTTCCCAAGCAACATATCAACAGTGCATTTATTCTCCAATCCAGCCATTCTGAGGAATGAGAACCCATCCGCTAAATGGGACTTCTTTTCTGACTCAGCATACTGGAAATCATTCTTTAGGAGCACTCCCTGCCCTGAGCTACGTTCAAGGGTCAAGGTGAGAAAGTGGCTCCATTCCTGGATGGAAATAAATATCTGAAAAAGTATAGCCCTGTCCCTCTCATTGGCACTGGCAATCTACACACACAAATGCTTTATCACAACAATTGACTAGCAATATCTAACCAAACCCATCAAATAGCAATAATGCAAGGAACAGTTCAGGGATTTCTTTTCAAGGGAAAATCAGTATAGTCCAAGCCGTGCATGTGACATGGAAGCAGCAAGGAACCCATGAGTGACTAGTAGTTTTAAAATTATACTTTTCTTCTTCTTAAAAAAAAAAACTATACCAAAAACTATTCATACATTCTTTAATAATCACATGTGCTTCAAGTCTCAATGTGATGCTTCTTCAACATTGGGACAGAGTTTAGTCTTCCTCAAACTGGCAGTCTCCAACTATTTCTAAGCCAGTAAACCATTGACCATGTTGTCCAAGGAAGGTGGGAGTTATATAACCTAATATGTTTGAAGACCACCATGTTATGGAAGGCTGTTGTGGTTAACCCTGGCTTGGGGAAACCCATCAGGTTAAACCTGAAGCAGCAGTGCAGATACTGATCCTGTCTAAAAAGAGAAGAGCCAGGATTACACGGGGCAACTGGAAGAAGAGCAGAAGAGACACCATGACTCTGTGATTACCAAAATAATCATTCCAATATCCATTTGGAAAAGGGTGTGTGTGTGTGCTGAATTAGAAATCTTTAAGACAGCCAAAGGAGCCATCCTCACTCTGCAAGGGAGAGGAGACTGAAGGCATTTCCACGTTACCATCAGCAACACGGAAAACGAAGCCTTCACGCAGGAATACAGAACACCAGCCATTTATCCGAAGACCCCCAGGAGAAGCCAACTCACTTCCGACCAGACTAGCCAGAGAATTGTCGCACGGGGGGCGGGGGGGGGGCAAAAGGATGCTGAGATTTCTGCAACTTCGATTATTATTATTATTATTATTATTATTATTATTATTATTATTATTATTATTATTATTATTATTATTATTATTATTATTTTAAAAGGGTGGAAACCCGGTCCGCACCTTCCTTCCTTCCTTTCTTCTTTCATCTCCGGGCACGAAAAGTGTGGAAAAAGAGGCGAGAGCCGATTTGCAGCGAAGGCTTAAGCTAACTTTACCCGGGACCCCCTTCCCTCCCCCCCCACGCCATTCCACAACCGCTGGATCTCTCGCCCCTTCCTCGGTTTACGCAAAAACCCAACCCAGAAGAGATCTCGCCGGAAAGCGCAGGGAGAAAAAGTCTGGCCATACTTACAGATGGAAGCCGCGAAGCCGAAACGCCAGCCGCTGAGCAGCAGCAAAGTCACCGCGCTGAAGAGTTGGGCCCCGGGCTCCATTGCCCCGGGCTGTGCTTTGCCTCCCTTAATCTCCAATTTTAAACCGCGGCTCGGTTTCCTTGCCTTGGCTCATTTACTCCCATCCGACATCCAGAGCCTGTTGGAAAAGACCGAAGCGAGGCGGCGAGAGAAGGCGCCTCTCTCGCCGAAGCCTCCGCCAAAGAAAGCGCCAAAGGGCCAGCCGGGTTCGCCAATCCACCTCCGGGAGCTGCTTTTTGGAATTCAGCAAGACTGGAGCCGGAGAACTCCTTATAGGCGCAAGGAGCCTTTCCCGCTCCCTCCGCCTCCTGCTCAGCCTCCTCCCCGTCCCTCCTCCCGCGCCGGCGAGAGGGGGAGGATCCTTTCTCAGCACCGCTTAGCCAAGCCCAAGCGATCGGCTCCGGAGTTACCCGGGGAAGTTGGCCGCTCGGAGCATCTCTCCCTGCGCTCTCGTTCTTGCCGAGGATGCCCGCAGAGAAGGGCGGGGGGTGGGAAGAGAGATTGACACCTCGGACCTCGAAATGGGGAAGGAAACGCCACATTGGAAAATCAAAGAAAGAAAAGGGGAGCTCTGAGACCGGCAGGATATTAAAGGAGGGGGAGGGGGGCTCATCTGGATCCGAAACGAAGCAGAAGAGAGCAACTGAGGGCAGGGTTGGGGAAAAGGGTGGCACGGATGGAATATGAGCTTTGGGAGACAGGTGCGTCGAGGAGGAGGGGGCGTTGCGTTGTTTACGGTCTTCCTCGGGGACCCCCCTCGAGAGGAAGAGGCAGGGGGAGCGGAGGGATGAAGGGGGGCCAAGGGGGAGTGGGGGGGGGGGGTGGGCTTCTCCAGGTGAGATCAACGCCTCTTCTCTGCAAAGACAGGGGCCACGCAAGCAACACCTACCCTTGAACGTGTGAAATGCACCCTAAGCCAAACAATGGCATCTATACAGATCAGATCCTGGCTTGGAGATCCTGGGGAGAGGGGGGGGGCAGTCGGCAGCAGCCCTACCTTTCCATTCGACAGACAGACAGACAGACGGGTTCATTTGTTTGTCTCAGCTGCCCAAATTATCAAAGTGACGCTGTTTTATAAAGCGGAGGTGGGGGGGACGACGACGACGGGGTGAAGAAGTGTCAGCCTGAGACCTCCTCCTCTCTACCAATGATGCAAAGTGAAGAATATTGTCTCTGCCTTGTTACACTCGCCAAACTCTCCATCGCCCTTACCGCACTGCTGCTGCTGCTGCTGCTGTCTTTTCCCCCCCAGAACCTTAGCTTCATAATTCCTAAGTCTTCGTTTTGTTGCTTTGCTTTGCTTTGCTTCGGTTTTGGCTCACATCAATATCAGGCAGTATCAAAAGCAGATAAAAATTGTACCAGGGATTCCCAACTTCAAATTCTCCAGGAGAGAATTTGTTCCGAGCGTTAATGTCTTTGTTGTGAGTCTCCAGCCTTAATAAATATATTAGAGAGCGGTCAGAAATGATTAGGAGGTTTTTAGATCTGTAGGTCCCCAGGCTTAAGATGGTTCAGTGAGAGTGACATTTGCATGTTCAAAAATTGTGCACCTGAATGTGCACACGGGAGGGGGAAGAAAGCCTTTGAATTGTTTCTGAAATACTGCTGGGTGATTAGTGTAAGGCTGATTGGACTTGCCAATCATTTCTTCTTGTAAAAAGAAATGGATGGTAGATGAACGATAGATGGTAGCAAAGAAAATCAGAAAACTCTTTGCTGTCATCTATTAGTCAATTGGAGTTTTGCAACCCAGATCTGGTAGCTCTAGATTTGGAAGTTTGGGGAATAAAAAGAAATCCATGAACAGGACTTTGAGTTTTTAAGAGACTAGTTAAAGCTAAAAGATTGGAGAGGAGGATTGGTAATCAGAATGAATCAGTTACATTCCTTTTTTTTTTTTCATTTGTATATAAAAAATAAAGGCTTTCATTTCAGTTCCAATGTGGCAATACCAAGACAAACTGGGGGGGGGGGCAAAATCACACCAGATTACTGACATCTCAGTGTACACAAAGTATTTTTTGTTTGTTCTATGCATAGCATTGTCCATGTATGTATGTACACACACACACAACGGCAGACACCCATTGCTTCCACCAGAAGGACTCTTTATCAATCTCAGTTTCAATACAGGTAGTCCTCGACTTACAACAGTTCATTTAGTGACCGTTCAAAGTTATAGCGGCACTGAAAAAAGTGACTTATGACCACTTTTCACACTTACGACCATTGCGGTATCCCCATGGTCGCATGATTAAAATTCAGACGCTTGGCAACTGGTTCATATTTATGATGGTTGCTGTGTCATGTATGATCAGCTTTTGCGACCTTCTGACAAGCAAAGCCAAAGGGGAAGCCAGATTCACTTAACCGTGTTACTAATTTAACAACTGCAGTGCAATGGTGGGTTCCTCCCGGTTCGGCCCGGTTCCACTGAACCGGTAGCGGTGACGATATGATGTCACCGAACCAGTTCTGCCCCCCCCCGCTCCCCTGCCCCCCAGGTGTTATTCTTACCTTTTATTTGGCCCCACCCCCAATCTATTGCTGCCTCCTGAGTCCCAGCTGATGGGCTATAAGGAAAAAACCTGTTTAAACTCTTGCCGCGGAGCTTCAAAGGGCCGCCCTACAGTTGACCGGTGCCTCCAAAAACAAATGAGTAGACCGGTACAGCTCTGCAAGCAGTTAAAAGCCTGGTAGACCAGTACCTCTGCTGAATCCTAAATAATTGTCACATGACCATCAAGCCATGCTCACAAAATAAGCCACGGCCACAGAACCGGTAGTAAAAAATTTTAGAACCCACCCCTGCTGCAGTGACTCCCTTAACAACTATGGCAAAAAAGGTTATAAAATGGGGAAAGTTCACTTAGCCCCTGTCTAAAGTCCCCTTAGCAGCAGAAATTTTGGGCTCAGTTGTAAGTTATAAGTCAAGGGCTATAGTAAAAAAAAATAATAATAATAATGGAGGAGAAGCAAAGGGGAAACAAATGCCAACAATCAGTCATCAATTTCCTTATTGATATTCAATGCGTTTGGAAAGAACAACCTGCTCAGAGACATTTCATTCTGTGATGGTCACCAAATAAATAAAATAAGAAGTGGATTTGCATAGATTGAAATTGCACCTCCCCTCCCCCCCCCATTTATCTAAGTTCACCTGAACAATGTACATACAGTATGTATACAGTTACAAATACAGAGGAGTAATTTTCCCACATATAGCCCGAGTGCATTCTAATTTGTGGTGTGGTGGCCTGCAAGGTTTGGTCTTCTCTCCCCAGCATTTATTAAAACGTAAGATAGTAAACCAAAGTTAAAATGGAAGATAATCAGATTTGAAGCACTAGAGTCTCTTGTGAATGACTGAATGAAGGACTGATAGTTCTAGCTGGATATTTATTTATTTATTTATTGGTTCGATTTATATGCCACCCTTCTCCAGAGACTCAGGGCGGCTTACAATGTGTTAAGCAATAGCCTTCATACTTTTTGTATATACCTGCTTAGTAGGGCTTTCGGGGCCCCCTAAGCAGTGTTCTTTTTTATACAAAGTCAGCTTATTGCCCCCACAATCCAGGTCCTCATTTTACCTACCTCGAAAAGATGGAAGGCTGAGTCAACCTTGAGCCTGGTGAGATTTGAACTTGCAGTAATTGCAGGCAGCTGGTGCTACTTAACAGCACTTTAGTCTGCTGCGCCACCAAGGCTCTTGTCTATTTGACATCTATAGACTCTCACTTTGATGAATTGATGACTTTTCATCTCTTCCCTCCCTCCCTCCACCTTCTCCCCCCTCTATCATTCCTGCCGTATATTCTCATATAATTTTCACAAACAAGCCAAGTATTCCTCTGGTATCCTTTAGGAACAGTTTCAAGTTCATAGCTGATTTACTTTGTGGTTGTGGTTAGTTGCGAAGTCATGTCCGACCCATCGCAACCCCCATGGACAACTTTCCTCCAGGCCTACCTGTCCTCTACCATCCCCTGGAGACCATTTAAGCTCACGCCAACTGGTTCAGTGACTCCATCCAGCCACCTCATTCTCTGCTGTCCCCTTCTTCTTTTGCCCTCATTTACTTTATATCCATCCTATTCCTGTATTTATTCATATTCCATTCTGTTCCACTCCACTCTACTCCACTCCACTCCATTCCATTCCATTAAGGAGAACTGACATTCAGCAGGCATTATTAATTTTCCATCCATCGGGTAAGCATTTTGTGGGCACCGAGTCAGGTCATTCCTCAGTGGGTTTTTGGGGTGGAGGGGAAAATGTCAACTCCCAATGCATTTTTCTCTTTAAAGATTCTTCAAGCTTTGTCTTTTACTTAACCCATTAATACTCCCTTTGTTGAGATAGGGCTGTTTTGGCTGCCTAATCAATGCTGTATGTTTCCTGAACACGAGAAACTGAAGGAACAATTGGATTCCAATTTTAAGACTGGAAAAGATATTGAGTTAAAAGGCACAAAAGGGTTTTGATTGGATTATCTGTAGTATTATTCATTCCCCTCCAAATACAGTTTGATCTGTTTAGTTGCTCTCTTTACACTGGGGAGAAGGCCCCTCGTGGCATTAAAAACGGACCCAGTTTTTCCTGCCTTGATTTCATTAGGGGTTTTTTGTTTTTTTCCCTACTTCCAAGTTTCATGGGGAAGAGAAACCTGTTAGATAATCCTGATTCCTATATCTTTTTTTTTTTAATGTGATTTATATGCCGCCCTTCTCCGGAGACTCAGGGCGGCTTACAGTGTGTTAAGCAATAGCCTTCATACTTTTGTATATTTTATACAAAGTCAGCTTATTGCCCCCACAAACTGGGTCCTCAATTTACCTACCTTAGAAAGGATGGAAGGCTGAGTCAACCTTGAGCCTGGCAAGATTCGAACTTACTTTAATTGCAGACAGCTGGTTTTAAATTACAGTGCCTTGTCTGCAGAGCTATCCAGGCTATCTTTCCAGACAGGAGATGTTTTAAAGGCCAGGCCCTTTGATCAACTTGCATATGGACATACGTGCAAGTTGTTGTTATTCTCTGCTGCCTTTTTAAAGAAGGCAGTTCTTCTATCATGGAGAAAAGAGGAGCAGGAGGAGGAAGAAGATGGTAGGGCTATAGAAGCTGTCAAATCTTCTCACCTCTTTTTTTTTTTTTACAGTTCTAGCTTGGGGAAGAAATTGTTTGTTTTGGGGGGCAAGGCCAACAGGTCCAACCCCATAAAGAAAAGTTTAATAATAGTAATAATAGTAACAACAACAACAACTTTATTGTCATTGTACGTGTATACACAATATACCTATACAACGAAATTC